AATACTTGATCATAGAAGCACCTGTAGACTTTGTGATGTTCATGTGCTCCTTTATCTTGGCTGCATCCTTCTTAATTGTCCTGATCGTAGACTCGTTAACACCATGCTGGCGCGCGAGATCAACCTGTCTTGTTCCTTTCTCCAACTCTTGTATGATTTTATACTTAATTTCGTAGCTTAAGGAACGTCGTGTCTTCTTTGGCTTAGGGCAGCTGGGTCCGGGTAAGGAAAGGTTTCTCTCTGGGGGCGGTGGTCCAGCGGAAGCCATTTTACAGAACAATGGATGCACGTTTACACGGTGTGGCCTGGAGGGATGAAACTGCCGTGGCTAGGTCAAGCGTCGTCTTTCCTCCCTCCCTCCCGCGGGTGGACACGTCATATTACTTTAAACCAATCACAGCTAGCAGCGGACGGAGGTAAGGATGCATGGCCCAATTACAGTCCGATACGTCATATGACGTCACTGATAACGCAACAAAGACACACACTGCGCAACCTACTCGCGCCGCTTACACAACATGGCAGAGGGCGGGAGAGATGGCGGGAGGTTTGGATCCAAAAATGGCGCGGCTCGCCGTCCGCTCTCCGCGTAAAGGGGTACACGCACCGCGGAATGTGAGCATTCCGGTTTCGGCAGGGTACCGCGTAAACGTGGAAAGGCGGAATGTGGGACCGCGTAAAGCGAGGGTTGACTGTGTGTGTGTGTATATATATATATATATATATATATATATATATATATATATATATATATATATATATATATATATATATATATATATATATATATATATATATATATATATATATATATATATATATATATATATATATATATATATATATATATATATATATATATATATATATATATATATATATATATATATATATATATATATATATATATATATATATATATATATATATATTGATAAAATCACACGGGAAAAGGAAACAACGGAGCACCTTAGCTTTCGTCTTTATTCAAGACATCTTCAGAGGCAACTGGATTACATGGACAGATAGAGGCTTAAATATACAGGGTGACCTAAAAACATGAGGTCAGGTCATAATGATGACATCCACTAATCCCTGACTGACCTCATGTTTTAGGTCACCCTGTATATTTAAGCCTCTCTCTGTCAATTATAAAATTTCAAAATTTATCGATTTTCATTGTGGATTTACATGATATATATATATATATATATATATATATATATATATATATATATATATATATATATATATATATATATATATATATATATATATATATATAAAAGAATGAAATTCCCATCACTATATCATTTAGAAATATTTTGTTTAAGGATATCTTATTGGAAATGTTTGGTACAGAATTTATCAAATATCATTTTGATATCAAATTCATCTCCCTATCACAATTAGCCACGCTTGTGTGAGGATGGGGGGGGGGGTGGCTGACCTCGCAACCCTACCCCCCAAAAAGGTTCACTTCCGTCAATATACCAACGCCACCCACACATCACACATACACCCCTACCTACATCACACACAAACACACCTTCCAACAACTGCTCACACACCCCAACACCACTCACACACCCCCAGCAAGGAAATTAACACACATCTGCGTGTGTGTGACAGCATGGTAGCGAGTTAAATATCAGTTCTTGAGGAGCGATTGGCAACACTCATTTCCACTCCATCTCCCTATTTACCCACACCTTCCTGCTTTCTCTCTCCATATTTTAAAATGTTATGTAATATAATGTTGAAGGGATACAACATTGCTCATTTATACTTATATCTGTACTTACCACAATCTCTCTAAAAATACTTAAGGTTTTGTGTTTATTCAAGACATCTTCAGGTCATGAGACCCACTAATCCTCCACCCAAGAAAGGGTAACCTGACATTCCATCAGATCAGTAATATGAGACCGCTAATCCCCTATCTTACCTCCACCTGACATTGCATCAAGTCAGATAAGCTACACAAGACCCACTAATCCCCCACAGCTCTGGGAGTGGAAAATAACAGTCTTTGCAGTTTCACACATGCCTTTATCCTTTAGATTTTTAATTTTTAAATATATTTATTAAACCAAACTTTTCGATTAACTATTCGGGATTATTATAGTAAAGATACAGTACAGTATTAAGTTTCTAACTTAATTAGAACTGTATTTATGGATATCAGTAGTTTAGACCTGAGGAAACCATCTCCAGCACTCAGAAATGTCTGGAGAAGTGGGCTAGTATGCGTCTGTTTAAGAGGTCTAGTTTAGACAATCGGAAACTTTTCCCAGTAACCGGAAAAGGTTCCGGGAATAAGGAATTTTTCCGGGTTTGAGATTGTCGTCTTGTTACCCAGAAATCTCTCATCCTTGGAAGTGCTCTGCACCAATTGTTCCGGCTAACGGGAATATCACTGTACTGTACAGGTATTTGGATATTATCAAGATCTAGAGTATTTATCTCTACGGGTATTTTATACATTTATTCCTTCTGGAACTAATGAGGATGAAGAGATAATAGTGATTGAAGTAAAGGTGAATAACAAGAAACTGTGTCCCAGGAGAACTTCCCAGTAATGGAAGCGTAGGTACTGTATATACAGTAACCAAAGAGCATGATGTTGACTGGTTTTGGAAGGTGTACACCCCCCAAAAATAGTCCTGTCAGTCCTCTGTCCCATCCATGAACCATGAGTCTCTTGAACCTGTGAATCCAAGACATTGCATATTGTTGGGTCTATTGAATGCGCACTGTGTGATGTCTCGGATTCATGAGTTCATGGGCAGGAGAGAGGACTGACACGACTTCTTTTAGGTGAGTGTACAATACATGCTGCTGGTGATTGGTTGGTGGTACTTAATCACACTAGTTTTCACTTTCCAGAATAAAAGGCAAAACAAAGGTTTTGTTCAAATTTCATGCAAAGGTACTCCTTTACATTCTTGTTAAAGATCTGGGTTAAAAAATTTAATAATCGAGTAATTAGTATTAATTAATGACCCTTGAAATAATTTAAAACATTTACAATATTTAAAACATCAATTAGCCTCTGCCTATAAATTTTAAATCACCTTCATATACATTTCCTCAAGAATATGGACTAACATTACTATTTAAAGTATCTCTGGGGCCTGTTAAATGGGAACACCATAACAGAACACACCTGCTGCAGTATTAAGCAAATGAATGATTCACAACAAATGAAGGGAGAGTCTGTGTTTGGTCTTATGTCTAGCCATGCTGCACTATACACTGGGAAACAGCTTGGAAGAGTGAAAGAATAGAATAAACCTGTAGTTTTGCATTCAATAGGGACCCCCCCCCCCTCATAAACAAAATGTGAGAAAAAATGCTAAAGCACTTGGTCATTGTTGTGTACAAATTTCAGTTTCTTACCTCAGAAGGTGTATAAGATACAGGTATCTGTCGTTTAGCAATCGGGATGCGTTCCTGAAAAGCAGATCTCTAAGTGATTTGATCGTTGAGCGAACAGAAACGAGAAGTAATTTCTTAAACAAGGGATAACGAGGAATAATATCCATGGAGATGACGCGTAATTGTGTAGTGGAGTCACCGACTGACTGAGTCTCCATTCAGTAGCAATCAGAGCGGGTGAGGCTGAGCTGTGAACTGTTATTGTTCAACTCATAATTTCTGTTACATGCACACACAATTTTTCATAGAGAATGTGTAAACAAAATAAAAAAATAAATATAAGGTCAAAAACATAAAGGGAATAAACAGTTCTTACTTGGTCCGGAGTTAGCCAACAAGAGCGGAGGGAGAGCTAGGGGCAGTGTGGGGATTCCCCAGCAATTTGCTTTCTCGTGTCCCGTGTGGAGTGAAAAGGTTGCCAAATGGTGAAACGAGGGAAAAGATGTAGAATTTGCTATAATAATAAGCTACAGTACACTACAGTAAAACTCGTCAAGTCCACGTTAAAAACCTGATAAGGAAGGCGAAACAACAGTTTACTTACTCGACATTATTACAAAGTTCACTCACTTTACACAATATCACAATAGTACAGGGTGATGAACAGTCCGTACAGTACTCAATAACTCTTAAAAGTCACAATAACAGCAGTAGCAACAGTGCACAGTTAGCGATAATATACACAAAAATATAGTAAAGCAATAAACGTACTGTAACGGCGTGGGTTGGTAGGTGGCGCACTGGTAGCATACCTCTACAATACATGGTTTCCATATAATAAACCTAGATATGTACCCCCTCTGGTTACCAAAAATTTATTTCTGTATTTTGCTTTAAAAGCTAGATAATAATTTCTATAATTCAGGTTGGCTGAATAATTAGTATCTTATACAGAGTGACTCAGCAAAGAGTACATTAAATTGGAGGATGAAATCCTTGAATTATTCTCAGCCATAATGTCTCTATGGTAAAATGTCAGATTCTGCCTAGTTTCCATGTTACAATATATTTAAGATGTTGTATTAATGAGAGTGAATTTGATGTGAAACCCCCTTAGGTTTTTGTAATAATTTATTCACATATCTTATGTACAGCAGTACAGCGTGATACAGGTGCAGTGGAACTGGGACCGTGTATGACCGAATGAGATAACGGCAGTTACAGAGAGGGAGTTTCACATCAAATTCGCTCTCATTAATACAACATTTTAAATGTAATGTAACATGGGAACTATGCAGAATCTGACATTTTACCATTGAGACATTGTGGTTTAGAATTATCTAAGGATTTCATCCTACAATTTAATGTACTCTTTGCTGAATCACCCTGTATATCGTCTCCCTTTCCAAGTGCATTAACGTTGGCCTTGAAAATCCAACGTTGCCACGATCTTGGAATGGGTTGGGAGACATATCACACTCGGCATATATTTTATTTCCACCTTTTTTATATTAGACTTGATTGTATACTACTGGATAGGTAGGTGAATACAAAATGAATTCAAACATATTTTTTGTTTATTTACTTACATGTGGCAATTCTAAATGGAATGTGACTAGCAGAGGCCTCTGCTCCACACCAAACATGCCGCGGTGAGTTTCAGACTTCACTTACATAAAATAACTTAAATTTACATAATTCTACACTTATTTTACTATTTATTGTACTCAAATATGTAGATATTAGTCACTGAGGCAATTTTAGGAGTCAACACTTGACATATGCTATCAGGTAAGGCGTAAATTTATACAGTACAGTTTTACCACATGTACGCTGTCACAATCCCGCCACTACAAGATGTGCTGGTACTAAACCCTAAAATAATGACAAATTACCTTCTTCTTTTTCGGGGAATAGCCCACCCTGGCACAGGTCATCGACCCACAATGGGGTGGGGGGGGGGGGATATATAAGAGAAAAAATTTATTAAAAATTTAAGAGAAAAAGACTAAATTAATATACAGTACACCACAAAGATGCCGGAAAACCAGCTTTTGAAGTGAGACAGATTGTATGAGTATGGAAACACAGAAAAAGGCAAAGCTTCCACAGTTTGGCTGTGTGAAGAAAGACGGATGTACCATAACGGGTTTTTCTAGTGTAACCGACATCCACACAAATGGTGGGTACCGCAGGCAAGATGAGTGTTATGAGCCTACTGCCTTGTCAATGGTACACAGAGTGCCAAATCCACCGAATATTGCCTGTTAAAGTACTGTAAAAGAGAGAGAGTGAAGCAACATTGCGGCGAAGAGAAAGGGAAGAGAGATTATCAACTATAGGCGGAGAGTTGAATAGAAGAGCCACCCCAGATATGAGACCAATACTCCACTATTTACAAGATTGTAAATTTTTAAAAGATATATACTTTCGATATACACCCTAAATATGGTGTCCCTTACCTTAACAGACATTAATCTTTGCCCTAAACCTTGTACAATAGGGGTATTAAGTGACAGTAGTGATGCCCACAGAGCACAGAATCCCCATTTTTTCAACTTTCCTCCTGAATTTTGCCAAGTGAGCTGAAGATCATTAAACCAAACAATTGCAGATCGTTAAACAGCAAAGTGTGTTAAAAATTTTAAATTGCTAAACCGAATTATCACTGTGTGAGCGATGGGTACCTGTACTGTATTGTAATTCCTGTAAAACTAAAAAAATAAACACACCAACAGAACAACCCTTCAGGAACTCATATTTCAGAACTGTTCATTTGGTAGTTTAATAGAGAACTAGGTAAAGGAAGTTCAGCTGTGGACAACCTACTATTTTATTCATTATCAAATTTTCAAGTACGTACTGTACTGGGTGTAGATATGAATGTCATGAGAATTTATATATATATATATATATATATATATATATATATATATATATATATATATATATATATATATATATATATATATATATATATATATATATATATACTGTATATATTTATTCATTTGGCTTGTATAATAAATGATACAATGGTGTGGACCGGTATAGATAAATACAAAATTACCGAGATTTTTTTCTATTTTACTTATTTATCAGTATGTGTGATAACATCAGTATTTTATTATCAAAGGTAAGAATTTTTTATACTACACTACTGTTCCTGTATATATTAATGATTGATTAAAATCACTGAAGAATTATCAATTTCTGCATCTGCTAGAAAAAATTATGCTTACATTAGAATAATACCTAATACACTAGTGTTTATGAACAATTTATATTTGTGATTAATTTTTAATTGTGGGAAGCACAGCTTATTCCTCACAGTTATATCTTAACAGTATGTAAGATGTGATTAGGAGCACCAAAATTAAGTGCTTTAACTCAAGAAGGACTAAAAGTTTTCATTTAAATAATGAATAATTTGTGAACTAAACGGAGTTGCATTTTATCTTGTCCCTAGCTTCAGGCAGAGCAGGAACTGATAGAAGTAAGCAAATAGTTACTTTCTAGTTTTAGGCAGTTTTAGATAACGTTAGAAATATATTTTTTCTAGTCAGCAACAACACAGATATAATGGGATGTTATATGATAAGTAATTCATTCACTGCAGAAGTAAACAAAAAGGCATATCTGGACTGTTGCATGTACACACAAACAATTGAGTACCATCTTATCAGCTTATTGTAGTTTGCTAACTGAAACAATACTTTTCTTGTGCATTTAGCTTGCATGCAGTACCAGCCTGTGCTGTGGTAACTTTGTACTGTCTTCTTTTATTTTTTTTTTATTTTTTTTTTTTTGTTTTTTATTAATATGCTTTCATGTATAATTTTACCGGTTCATTAGTATTTAAAATAAGGACAATAACACTGGAATGCAGTTGAAAAATTACAGTTGCTCGTTTTACCATTCTACTGTTGTAAAATGAAACTAGAATCTTTGATAAAACTAAAGTAGATATCTGTTATTGGAGCCTAAAGAGTGTGATAATGGTGTGATTGGACAAAATAAAAGTATGGTATAACCTCATAAATCCAGCCATCTTGAGACCGAGACAGTTGCAAGGTCATTTCCCGGATGCTTCCCCTTGAAACCATGAAGTATAGTATATCTTATGTTGAAATTGTTGAGGTGAATTTCCATATCAGCGTGAAAGTAGGCATTACCACCTTCAACTGTAAAATGCCTGAGCTGGGTGTGTAGTAGGTAACAGTTATGGACCCCAAAAGCAGTATGTGACTGGATTTGTTATGTTGAAATTATTTATAAATGTGTGAGTTAGCCATGAATACCTGGTGTCCCAGCTGCCACCAGGCTAACTTAAGCAAATTTTATGCATGGATGCCCTTACTCTCACCAGCCCACTTTTACAATAATGGGAACTGGGCTTTCAAGTGCTCTTTTAGCTGGGAAGAAAGAGTCACTACTCTCTGAGGTTATCAAAGATTACCCACCTGCCCTTCAAACTGCTGGAATAATGTTTAAAAATTGAAAAGAAATTATTTTAGTATTGACAGGGTTTTAAGAGTTGCTGAAGAGCTGTGTCAATGTTTTAAGGACTCTTGAAGGACAACTGCTAATATTTTGCAGAAGTGTGGATCAAGCTGTAAGGTGTTCACCTCACCTTATACATTTTCAATAATTAAAAAAAAAAAAGTTAGTTTTGGTTCTAGGGAAAGCAACTGAGGAAAGATGGTTCAAACAATGGTAAATGTATATACTACTGTATCATGTAGTGTTCATCATTAATCAAGTCTTGTAGAAAATATGTACATCTTTGTTGCTGTTCCTTGGAATAGTAATGTTCTTAAGAGATAACTAACTAGTAGGTATTCAATATACAGGTATGATGTAAAACTTTAAATGTAGAATTTCTAACTCAAAAATATTTAATTTTCAGGCTGAAACAGACTTAAGAAAGGCCCAGGCAGATTTTGACAGACAGGCAGAGATAACAAAACTTCTGTTAGAGGGTGTGAGGTGAGTAGAGTAAACGATGTTAAGACATTGAGTGTCCATCTTATTTTTCTTTCTTATTTCCGAATAGATCAACAAGTATACAGTACAGTATGGTATGGTACAATACAGTACAGTGGTCCCTCGGTTAACGAACACAATTCGTTCCAGAGGGTCGTTTGTTAACCGAAAATTTCATTAACCAAATCCATTGTTTCAATGGGATATTGGGTAATTGGTTCCAGCTCACCGAAAATTACATACAAAGTAAAAAAAAAATGCAGTAAAGTACACCTACTTTGAGGTGTGTATGTAGAAGGCTCCTGGTTGATGATGCTGATGGGAATTTGAAGTGGGGGTGGAGGAGGAGAAGGGAGAAGAGAAGGAAGTGGGGGTGGAGGAGAAGCATTTTACTGCTTCTTGGAAGGTGAGTCACCTTCCATAATAATGTCAGGAACCTCTGGACTGACAGATTCTCCAACAGAAAAATCCTCTCTCCTTTTTTAAGAGGAAGGCTGAGGGGAAGCATTTTTCTCCCGCTACCTTTTAGAGAAGAAACTGTAAATTTTTTGTTGTGGGGTATTTCTCCTCCTGATCATTAGCTGGTTCTTGAAGAAGGAGACCACTTTGTCCTCCACAGTACATAAAATCGGTTCTGTTGTTTCCACATCAGGGTGCCTTGAAACCGGTTTCCTGAACATCTCCCAGTGGTGAACAACATCTTTTAAGTCTGAAGAAGACATATGGTCATCACTAGACTTTCGGCACAACTGTCAAACATGTCACCTCCCCTTCCTCCCTCCCTCCCTCTCCCCCATCTTCCCAGCCAGGGTTTGGTGGTTTTAGGTTTACAGTTTTTATCTTATATAATATCACAAACTAAAGTTAGGAGAATATAATTTTCATTACTAGAATCCTTGCAAGACAGAGAATAATTTGAATATAAATGTCGTATATTTTGCACGAGATAAAAATTTTAGCCCTTTGTAATAAAATTAATGAGTGTTTCTTTTAACATAATACAGTACAGTCATGCGCCGGTTAACGTCCGATCGCATATACGTCCGTGCCCCCCCCCCCCACAGAAAAAAACAACAACACTTCCGTGACGCCTGCTGGACCACCACTCCACGACCCCCTGACAGAGACACGATGATCCTCCCCATACTGGCCAGATATTATGTGTTAAAGGAGTATCCTTCCTTCCTTAGGCTTTAGTAAGCATTTGCCTCCAGGTGTAATGTTAACCTACATCTATTAAGGATAAAATCTTTCACCTACAAATTGACAATAACACATTTCCCAGTTGCAATTGGGGTTGCAATTTCAAATTCTGTGTCATTACTAAGGAATAACGAAGTCTCTGGTGCACTCTTAAGATTGAGAGAAATCGAAGGACTCAGGCGTCCTGAAGCGAGAGAAAACGGACTCCTATGATGGGGGACTCAAATAAAGAAAGACATAGCTGCATGTTTTGTGGACTACAGTACAGTCATGCGCCGGTTAACGTCCTAGATACGTTCTCGGAAACGTGACGTTAACCGAAATGGACGTTGTCCGATCATCACATAAACTTTTTATTTATACTTATGTGTATGTGGAATACTATATACGTACATATACACTTTTAGTCTTGAATCACTACTGTAATGTGATACAGGTGATTAATTTTTATTTCTTGTGCAAAATACATGACGTTTATATTAAAATTATTCACTGTTTTACAAGGATTCCAGCAACGCCAAGCACATGGGGGAGAGGGTGGGAGGGGGCATGGGGGGAGGGGAGGTAGTACGTTTGACAGTTGCCACAGGCCCAGGTCTAACGCGTGTATATTTATCAGTTCTTAGGTGACTAAGCTTCTCTCTTATAAAAAGCCAGTGATATGACCCGGGTGAATATAATTAACATAGCTGGGATTCTTGTAACATACTGATTAATTTGAATATAAACATGCTATAATTTGCACTAGACAAAACAATTTTAGTACCGTAATCAAATTAGTACATGTGCACTCCAGCTTTACACTAAGAAATCTATGTAAATGTACCCGAAAATACAGTTGAAAAACTTTTTTATAAAATGTACTACAGTACTGTACACTAATGTACAAAATGTTTTATCTCGTGAGCAAAATATATGACGTTTATATTCAAATTCTTGGCTGTCTTGCAAGGATTCCAGCAATGCAAATTATAATCTCCTAACTTTAGTCTGAGATATTTTATAAGATAAAAACTGTAAGCCTAAAAGCCTGGCTGGGGGGGAGGGGGGACGTAGCCAGCCACGCCAGCGAGGGGTTGGTGGGGGGGTTGAGGTGATAAGTTTGAGACGAAGGTCTCTGTGTGTTTATTTAACACTCCTACTAAGCTTCTCTCATTTTAAAATGCCAGTGATATGACCTTGGAGAATATAATTAACATACCTGGGATTCTTGTAAGATACTGATTTATTTGAATATAAACATGTTGTAATTCGCACTAGACCTAACAATTTTAGTACCGTAATCAAATTAGTACATGTGCACTCCACCTTTGCACTTAAGTCATTTACAGTGTTTCTTTTACGTTTCTTTTAGTATGGTGTGTGCTTGTAAATGTATGAAAATAAATGAAGAAATTTATGTAAATCTACCCAAAAATACAGTAGAAATTTTTTATATAAAATGTACTACAGTATTGTACACTGATGTACTACATTTTTTATATCTTGAGCAAAATATATGACGCTTATATTCAAATTAATCTCTGTGTTGCAAGGATTTCAGCAATGCAAATTATATTATCCTAACTTTAGTCTGAGATATTATATAAAATAAACATAAAGAAATCACCAATCTTTTATCTTGGAACACGAGGTGTGGTGGGAAGACCTGGGGGGGGCGGGGACAGAATGTCTGGCGTTTGTTTGTTTGTTTGTTTGTTTATTTATTTATTTATTTATTTATTTGAGATAAGATTTGACAGTTGGCGCTGAAGGCCTGTCTGTGTGTTTATTGTTCATTACTTAAGAGTGACTAAGCTCTTCTCATAATTTTCCACCCAAACGACTTGGGTGAATATAACTTACATTGGAGGGATTCTTGTAAGATAGTAATTTATTTGAATGTTTTTTTTTTCAATTTAAATTTTAATTGTTTATTCCTTGATAGAGGAAGTGGGATGCTAGTGCTGTCACTTGGTACCCCTGTACCATAACACCAGAAGCAACTGGCCAGTGTCACAAGTATGTACAGTACAGTACAGTCATCCCTTGGTTATCGTGCCTAATTGGGACCCTGCCGATAACGAAAGTACAGAACCTATGGGATTTATTCTAATTGGTTCATTTACCCAAGACCCAACCCCAAGTTTCCCATTTTACGACCATTTAGACCCACTAAATATATATATATAATGTTATGGTAAATATCATAAACACACATAGGCATGGCTAGGTTTATTACAAAGTGATGAAAAGGGTACGCTTAATACTGTAGTCCACAAAACATGTAGCTATGCTTTTTTTATTTGGTCCCCCATCATACGAGTCCGTTTTCTCTCACATCAGGACGCCTGAGTCCTCCGTTTTCTCTCTTAATCTTAGAGTGCACCAGAGACTTCACTATACTTAGTAATGCCACAGAATTTGAAATTGCAACCCCAATTGCAACTGGGGTTGCAATTGTTGAGGCAACTAGATATGTCTGATTACAGCAAATGTGTTATTGTCAATTTGTAGGTGAAAGATTTTATCCTCAATAGATGTAGGTTAACATTACGCCTGGAGGCAAATGATTAAAAAAAGCCTAAGGAAGGAAGCATATTCCTTTAACACATAATATCTTACCTGGAGGCAAATGCTTACTAAAAGCCTAAGGAAGGAGGATACTCCTTTAACACATAATATCTGGCCAGTATGGGGAGGATCATCGTGTCTCCGTCAGGGGGTCGTGGAGTAGTGGTCAGCAGGCATAACGTTTTTTTTTTTTGGGGGGCCGCAGGACGTATATCTGATCGGACGTTAACGGCTCTATGACTGTATTGAGCATACCCTTTTTCATCACTAAATGTTCGTAGAGTTGGGAAACTTGGGGTTGGTCTTGAAGTGCCTAAACAAAAGCTCATTCAGGTATGCGTGTTCAAGGGATGATTGCTGGTGACTAATTAAATTAATATTCAAATATGGGACGTGGGACGTAAGTGGCCTAGGCGGGCACAGTCACGTTTGCGTCATACTTCCACCAACACCTCCTTCACTCCACCACCAGGCCTCCCTCACACCACCACTAACACCTTCACGCAACACCCACACCCTCCCTCACACCAACACCTCCCTCCACCAACACCTCCCTCACACCAACACCACCTCCCTCCACACCACCACCGACACCTCCCTCACACACCCAACACCCACCTCCCTCCACACCAACACCCACACCTCCCTCACACCAGCACCTCCCTCCCACCAACACCTCCCTCACCACCCCAACCCTCCCTCCCACACACCACCACCGACACCTCCCTCCCACCACCACTAACACCTTCACACCACCACCGACACCTCCCTCACACCACCACCGACACCTCCCCTCCACCAACACCTCCCTCACACCAACACCCACCTCCCCTCCCTACCTCCCTCACACCAACACCTCCCTCCACCAGCTTACCTCCCTCACACCAACACCCACACACCTCCCTCCTACACCACCGACACCTCCCTCCCACACCAACACCCACACCTCCCTCACCCAGCACCCACCTCCCCTCACCTGCTACCTCCTCACACCAACACCCCCTCCCCTCACACCACCACCGACATCTCCCTCACACCAACACCTCCTCACCAGCACCCACACCTCCCCTCACACCACCACCGACACCTCCTCCACCTGACCGACACCTCCCCTCCCACAACACCTCCCCTCACCTGTCCACCTCCCTCCACCAACACCTCCCCTCCCACCAACCTCCCTCACACCAACACCTCCCCTCCCAACACCTCCCTCACACCACCACCTCCCTCACACCACCACCTCCCTC